CTGGAGTATGCGAACGACATAGTTCTCCTTGGGTCTGATGCATTGGCTATGCAACCCTTACTGCACAGACTTCTGCGTCGCGTTGCACGGTTTGACAAATACTTCGCACCTTTAAAGTGCTGTTGCTGAACAGTGCCGACACACCCCCGGTTTTAGCTGTTTTCGGCTAGCCACTGGATGTGGTGAATCGGTTCATTTACCTTGGTACCTGTGTCACTTCTGGTTGTCACATCACTGAAGCGGTTACTTCGCCTATTAGCAAAGCCTGTGTGGATTTCCAAAAGCTCACCCAACTATGGAGACGGCGGGATATGAGCTTGTCAGTGAAAGGTAGGGTGTATAACGCTGCGATAAGGCCAGTGTTACCGTATGGATTGAAGGCCTGGCCAGTCCACGGCGAAGACACTAAACGTTTGACCGTTTGACCACCGGTGCTTGCGAAGTATTGCTTACGTTTAGTGGGAACACCGGGTGAGCAGTGCTGAGGTCCGTCATTTGGTTTTCGACAAAAAACCTTCTGGTGCCTCTCCCGAGTGTTTGATAAATCTTAATCACTTGCGTTGGCTAGGCCATGTCCTCCGTATGCCCATGTGATCGGCTTCCGCGGCGTGAATCATACGCCGTGATTGCACCAAGCTTTTGCGAAACCTCGAGGTGACCAGTCCATGACATGGCATATAGGCATGAACAAATTGACTGAGAGACTTGATCAGGTTGGTGCGTGCCGTCTTCCTGTATATGGCCTGTGGACGGTCCATGCCAAGGGTTGGAAACGGTGTCAGACATGGCGCAGTCACAAAGTCAGGGACGTTGCAACATTCGGATTCTTTCATCTAATGGTTACTTTTGATCTATTCTGATTAGTCTAACGCATTGTCTATTTGCTTCAATTTTCTCTACGTTCTGGTTGCACCTAATCCCACTGTCATATCGGTGTTATTTGCTGCTGTTCTTACCGTGTGAGTCGTGGCAACTGCATCCACCGCTTTTCGGTGCTCGGATCATAGTTGATCAACTGAACTGAACTGAGTCCAGTCGCATGCCGTGATAGTGTCTAATAGGGCCAGGTATTTTGGAGGTGTTGTCAGAGGGTCCTAATCGATGTGCCGCAGATTAAAGTCATCTCTCACCACTTTGTCAGTAGGCTGTAGTTCAGAAACTTGGCAAAGTGTTTGGCAGGTTCGGTAGCACGTTCCTTAATAGTGTGTGATAGGTTATAAATGCAGCCAACTAAAAGTCAGGACCATTCACACTGCTCTGCACCCAGATTGAATCTTCGGAGTTCCCAGTAGGCAAGACTTCCAATGTAAAGGCTTGCAAGTCCTCATGGATTTGGCGAAGCGATCCACCACCTCGGTTAGTGATGTGTTCACTACCGAAAGTTCTGTAACCCTGGGTGTCAGGCGCACATGAGGAGTACCATATTTCGGTGACGAGCACCACCTGAGGACCAGATAAAAAATATAAAGTGACCTAATAAGCCGTCTTATGTTTGATTGATCGAATGTTAATGAGCGTCACTCTAACAAGCCCACGGCTGAATACATATGCAATAGGGATACAAATTTCAGTATTACTACATTTCTTTACCCTCACGGGTGCCTTGGATCTTCCAGGGTTTTTAAATGTTGGTGCCGGTCTCAAAATGAAGGTGTACACATCCACGGCGGGTGATAAAGACATGGCCGATGCATTAAGGAGTAGATGTGACGCGTAGTGCTAAAGGGTTGTGGACAATTTCGTGATGAGATGATAATGAACTTGTAGTACAAGCGTGGTCGATCATTGAAAGCCTTGTCATCTACTGTAGCGGAGTTGGCAGGAGACAACCAGGTACTGGATATCAGTAGTAATTCGCGGGGGCTAGTGACATCAATATAATTCTGGATAGATAATATAGAGGGGCAGTTACGCTCTCCTTTTGGAATTCGTGTGACGATTCGTAACTCGCCATCTTTCATACAAAAGGCCCGAGTGTTGGTAAAATAAAGGCAGATACCCAAAGTTGTTGTGATGGCTAACAAGTGGGACTTTCTCGAAATCTGATGTCCGTGTAGTTCAGTCCATTAGTTAATTTAGCTCGCGTTTGCTCATTGAAAGATGATCGATGTCGTTGAGCAAAAGGACACCAGTTGTGAGTTGCCGCGTCCGGTGTTTCCAGCGGATACGGGCGTCCTGGTGATTGCATGTCCCGGAAAAACGTGTATTTAGGAGCTACCGTGGTCTGGATTCTCATGCGTACCTGATGGTACCGAGGTTTAACTGGTGGCTTCCTAGATTTCTCTTTTGGAATCAAGAAAGTCTTTATCGTGGCAGGGACCAGCGTAATTTTGAGGACATTGCGTTAGAGATGACATACATCTTTTAGGCAATTTCTTTACCGGCGGTGAACATGTAGGCGGAGGAGAATTTCGTAATTGAACATCATGAGAGTGAGTAGCGGCATGAAGCGGGCTTATATCGACCTCAAGCTCATTGTCCGCGTCCTGTATGTCTGTGTCCTTGGTTTGATCAACAATTGTGGTCGCATTGATAGGTACATTATCAAGGAGTGGGATGAACTTTGCGGGGTCGACGACAACTTTCGTTATCGTTCGCGATGCAACTTTTTGTTTTCTTTTGGCCAAAATGCCTGCGCGTTCAGATGGGTCTAGGTCTACGCCTGGCTTTATGGTCAGGCTAGTGGAAGTTGCACTCTGTAACACAGCGTCTATATTTCTCGGCAGCGGCCGCACTTGAAGATAGAATGGCTCTCTGTAGAGGCGTCTCATCGGGTATAACTAGGATCTGACCTAGGTTCGCCTGAACTCTCGGGTTAAATCTTCTATCCAAAAATGTTTTGGCTAATTCTCGGCTTTTAAAGGTAAAACGATAGGGCAGGTTCGTCCTGATGTCGTCTTCCTCATTCGCTTACAGGCACAATTGTCCAGTGGCTTGTTACACAAGCCTAACAGTACGCTCTTCGCTCTGTCAAGAGCCAGACAGTTCGCAACGTTGAAGAGAACCATGTGGCTGGCACGGTGAGCGCGCTCACTTACTTCGTTGTCAATAGTACCGAGCAGTTCATCGACCGTTTTCAACACATTGGGACTATTGGATTTGCACATATCCGACAGCTGGGCTAATTGGCTAATCTTTGCCGAAGTTCCACTAATGTATATCAGCTCTTTTTTTTAGATTATTTACTTCGCTTTCAATGGAGTTAATTTTAGCAAGCGTTTCGGTCAGTTGATCGGGAAGGACAGTTTTGCACCCCTTCATCAAAGTTGAGTGCACTTTGTGTTCTGACACTTTGGTGGTAGTCGTAGCCGTTTTCACAGTCGTAAGAACAAGATTATTACATTTAATTCGAATGATAGATAAAATGGACATGCAATGCCACAACTACGCTGACAAGCTGAAAAACGAACTGCACTTACCAACTCTGATACTTTACTGGTGTGGAGAGTAAAAGGTAGATAAACGCAGGATCCAAACATGGAAAACCATAATGATGTTAAGAAAGTGTTGCTTTTTAGTTACACAGATGAGCAAATAATGAATGTATGTTGGATTCTAATAGTATCTAACTGACCCCATGAACCTAGAAAATATGTTCACGCACCGTGCAATCAGTCGATTTTTCGATTGTGTATCTGTCCCGACAACATTTGCCATAGGTGATTGATTAGCATTTTGCGGGTTTATTGTCCCGAGCACCAATGTCGACCCTCGTGAACAACACTGGTGGATGAGTGACCATGTACTCCAGATACTTAAGTTCTTTGGTCAGGAATAACAATAGCTATTCTAAGCGGGGATTTTTTCTGACAGTCATATATGCTATCACTGTGATGCGAGTGTCTTACCAGAGTGAACTTATGGATCAAACCAGCAAGCTAGACAACCAATGGGAGACCCAAATGAGGGATTCGATGACTGGACACGGATTGGTCGACGTTCATGTGGTTTAATTACCGTTTGTTTAGCTGAGTCAAAGAAGGAGGTTCATCGGCTCATAAGGGTCGGTAGTTATGAATGTGTACGGACCATTTTGATATCGAGGAGTTTGGTTCGCCATATGTACTTTAATTTTCGCTAGGTTGACTTTGCGAATACACACTTTTCCTTGAAGGACTGAGTTCTGGTTGATGAGTTACCCTGCAGTCCAACTATCTACGTTCATTGGTCAGAAATAACAACGGCCATTCCAAGCGATATCTCTTCTGAAAGTCTTGAATGCTGTCACAACCGATGATTCTCATTGTTCTAATTAACTATCTGGTTATAAGCACAGCCCGACTGGCTTAAGACATGAGTGCCACTGGCTACCCACGTCAACCTAGGCAGTTGTCTGCAAGAACTCACCTGTGATCGACTACCGTTACCTTGTCCTATACTGAAGTCGAATACGCATGAGTTATTGCAGATCACCCAAAGCTGCATGTGGCCTGTCCCACGGGAATCCCATTGCGATTCTGCAGTCACTTATTCGAATTGAACCCTCCCTACACCTTCCTGGATCAAATTCTCGCATCAACTGCTTCAGCATTGATTTTCTGAGATCAGGCAACTGGAAGTGTCACCTGCTCATCATACGCGGTACCTAGATACCAAATTGTCCTATCTTGTTATTGGTCAAAAACATTTTTCATCTTACATAATCGTTTTTCCGTTGAAATCCACTTTTGGTCTTCACGGGCAACTGATTTCGAGTTCATCGGCACCACTAACAAGGAATAAAGTATACGCTTTAAACGCAGGGTACTATACCACATTTGGCTTTTCAAAATTTGCGCACAGTCGCACCTTGCCCACAAACGACAGCCGCTGCACTTGGTATGCAACTTCACATTTATACCTACATGGCTGCTTTTTTCACTCACTTTACATCATTCTCGTCTCAGAGTACAATAAGGATCCTCTCTCTCAACTAGCTCTGACACGCTGTTCACCAGACGCTATCATCGCAATCAGAATGCTGCTTCTCTAAATCACTGTTGTTTCCGTTTTTATCGCAGCTGAAGATTTTGCTCAAAACCGAGCTTCCTATTCAGATTGACGGTGAACCTTTCATCCACCCTGCTGGTCAAATTATGGTCTTGAGATCCGCCTTGCGGGTAAGTTGTTGTAGCTCGGCGCCTGCATGTTAACTGCATTCATGCACTCTCTGAAACTGTCAGATTGAATGCACTCTGCTATTGTGAGCCACAGTCTTCACGAATCCACAGTGAATCTGCCCGCAAACGGTGTTGCATCGCCTTTAATCGACAGCCAACCCACTTAGAAGCATTATCTTTATTGCATGTGGAGCCATTTTTTCGCTTATCTGTGCGCTTACTTTTTGATGTCCATGTGAGGTGTGTGTTGACTCCGTAGTTTAAGCCCACTCAATGAGTCCCTGCTGGCAGTTAGACATCAACCCTATCGAGCATTTGATGCACCACTTTATTCAGACAGTCTGATGGATGGAGGGGGAGTCATCCAAAACCATGGAAATCAACGAAAGATGATAAGAAAAAGTAGACACTTATGTATACTTTTTCATATATCGCGCGCCATCTCGGGTGTCCTCTGAAGCGAATTCAGAGATCATAATATACAAGTGCGTAATGGTAATCCACGATTGTGCAGCAAATTGAGCGGCAGTTTCGAATACAGCCTCTCTTGATCGAGATGTGGTCGAGTTGCATCCATTGCAGCTCCGAGGCTGGTGGTTGTCATGCCACTCTTCTACGGGTGCTGTTGTCGTAGGTTGATGCTCACGAGAAGTAGACGAGAATCTTCACACAGGTCTAGCAACTGATCACCGTTATCATTACGGAAGCATACACCATGTTGGCTTCCCAAATGCAGTTCCTCCGTGGACCATTTTCCAGCTTGAGCATTCAGATCGCCAGTATGCACCATATCCGTACTCTTGCTGTGACGAAGGAGCTCGTTCGGCTGGTCATAGAAGTTGTGCTTGACCGAGTCACAGCTGCAGTCAGTTGAAGTGTACACGGAGATCACCAACAAGCTGCGCCTCTCCTCGCGACGCCCATTGATCCTGCATAATCCCCGAAACGAAACTGGACGGTCGGTTGTTTATCGGACACTAGTTCAGCACTGCGGCATTCCCACTTAGTGCTGCACCCACACCAACTTAAATTCCTGCGGCTGCGTCTGTGTCACCAAATAGGCGCAGGTAAAATATGGCCCCTTTGATGCTCGGGGATGTCAACTTAATCAGAGTTAGTATCTTGCAGTCGGGTTCTATGGAGAGAAGGAACATCGATGGCGTGGGCTAATACGGTACGCACGAGAACAGCCTGTTGCCCGCTATGCATGAGTGTACGTACCTTAAATTATGCCATTTCGAACAAGGATCGAGTCCGGAGCGCAACTTGTCTAGCTATGTGGGCTTCGGCGAAGCCATCTGAAGAAAAATCATGGAAACAGGAATCCGTTAATGACGGAAAACAGTGCTTCTTGACAAATGAACAAATGGTTTGTGAAGAGGATGCATGCGTAGCAGGAACGAGAATACTTGAGCGCGTTATAGCAAATGAACTATCCGTGGTTTGTCAATCGCCCAAGCCGAAGTATGTAGTTGTCTTACGGAACACCACCCAGAGCCTTCGGCCGAATAGCCTGCCTTCGATGCAGCAGAGTGAGTTCATGGAATCGCGCCCGTTTGGAGACGGTGACTGATCGCCCAGTTCGTACACATTTCGTTTGGTGAGTAAGTAAACACTGGCTCAATCCTGTCTAGGATATCATCACACACCTGCAGGAGTACAGTGTTCCACAGAAACAAAGTGAAGGGCAGTGCTTTGTATAGCAGCGAGTCTCATCCGCCACGTCGCAGTGTTATTAAAAAGATCTTTGTGGCTTTTTATAGGGAAAAGGCTTATCAAGTGGAAACCCACCACGTCCTGGAACATTACCCCCGAATAATTCGATGGAACGGGAATATCTCGAACCACTGGGAGGTTATTCAGCAAGACTGAAGGAGCATCCGCAAGTACAGGGTTATTGCTCCTATTCCTCGTTGGATTAGGTGGTTTCCCATTGACTCACAAAAGAACATGACTAAAAGTTCTCGCTCTCTTTTCCATTGCTATCTAACTGAGTCTATGTGTAAACACGTGTTGTAGGTACCAGACGAACCACTTACACTTCGTATAGCGCCATCCATACTTCACACATATCTCCATGAACTTTCGATAACGAGCTCTTGTTTGATACCTGTATTTCCTAAGTAAGCACATCTTTCTGTTTTGATTGTATAGGTTTGTCCCGTTTAACTGAACGTATCCATTCAGGGGAGTTTTTCACCTTAAATGTCTGCTTCTGCTACTTATTGGGTTTCCATCCTTTCCATCATAGGCAACTATGTTGAGGAAGGTGAAGCGTATCAAACGTCGAACAGTGGAAATTACTCTACCCAGTGAACTGAGTCGTCTGGTCGTACAACAGAGCATGCAACCCGACTCATTGGAGACTATTAATGCCGATCGTCCGTTGTCATCTCCACCCACACCACCTGGCCAGGCTTCATCACTGGATCACCTTGATGGTGGCTCGTCTTCCACACAAAAGAAACCACTGATCGAGAACTCTAGCTCCACTTCACCGCTTTTCTCCCAACGCAGCCACTCATGTTCTCCACCGGCTGATCGGGACCCCATGAGGTTGGATACCCCCAAACCTTTTCCGAGCTCCTCCGATCCCAGCCAATTGCCTTTGTGCCTACGCAATGCAGACGGGGAGGTGGAGTCCCAAACTTTCCACTCGGTGTTGCACAATGACGAAGGCAGAAAAAAGGCTGTTCCAAAGTCATCAGTGATGGGTAGGCGATGAGTGGCCAAGCCATTTGACCTGATCAACATTCCTATGGCCCGCCCTATTTCCATCACTCCAATTAAACCCAAAACTAGTTGTACTATAAACCGAGCCCCGAATCCTCACGCAACCGTCGTTCCTAAACATAATTTCATGCAACATTTGCCGTCGGTAATCCCACACATGCCGGATGCCATCTGTCTGTTTATTCATTTTCTTGAACCTGTATCATATTTCCACACATGTTGATGGCGCCGCATTCATCTGTTAGCTGTGTTTCCTTTGCCGCCTGTTTTACTTTCGATCTCGTTGTGCGCACAGAGTTTCTGGGCCTCAATGGATAATCGGTAATCTGTATTTATGTCTTTTTGATCCTCTCTCAGCGCCAAACTAAAAGCCGTTTCACTTCACTCCAGTTGCCATTTCGGCACTGAAATGTCGTCTAATAATTTCACTTTTTTCTGCTTGCATAGCTCAACTAACCACTGGTACATTGCAAAGTAAGGTTTTGACTTGGCGCGACACTCGAACTAGCCGCCAAGTTGAGGTTACCATTCTTTTCCTATGTAGATCCTCTGCTTCGACGGATTGAGTACACATCTCCAGGTGCATCATCATAGGTTCATTCCATTTACCGTCTTTCACATTTCCACCTGCAATTTGCAACTTATTGTTTACTTCAAACTGGATATTCTACAAAGCAAAGTGGGCAATCAACCTGAAAAAGGCAGCAGTTAGACAGACCGGTAGCTGACCATCCCTCATGATACCGTTCTCTTCCTCGTCAATATACCATCTTTAAAGTGGACGTGTTTCAAACAAAAAACTGCCAGATTTGGAGTGTACAGAGAAGACGAAAGCGTAAGACTACCGGTTTGCGATCGCCTTGGCACTTTTGATGCGCTCTGGCTCGTAGTGGCTCTTCTTCAGTGTAATCTTTAGCCTTCTGATAGGCGTTGAAGACCGTAGATACCGAAATGTGGATCTCGTTCTCTTACATATGCTGCTGTATCTGCACCAGTATCCTCCGAACGTCATTCAACGGTCTCGTCAGTACAATGTAAGACATTGGGAGTCAGTCTCTCTCTATTGTTTCCTGCACGGTTACGCTGAGTAGTGATACCTTCTCGTCTGTAGACATTGTGATGTTTCTTACCGTTCTCTCGTTGACATCGGCGACTTCAGCAGTTTTGTGAGTGGTTTTGTTGTCGACGAACACAAGCTGTCTTCTCGTTGTTCGTCGCTCATTGCAGTCGGTTCGCGCGGCAGTAGGCTAATAAAGATTGACAAGCTTCGACAGATCCTTTACAACCTACACTGTCCTAATAGTCGCGCAATTACACATGCTCACACACAATGCGCGAAGGCCGATAGGGAGACAGGGATAAACTGGGTCGCCGCCTTTGATGGAGGGGAACGATGCTCATGATCAAGAGAAAGGTATGCACTAGCGTCCGCTGCTTTCATACATCGGGTTACGTTAGCTCGACTTCACTGTGGCCTGAACATCGTCCAATCGCCTTACTCCTCATTCCTTGTTCACAAATTGCTGATTTACTTTCTTAAATTGTGTCCACTTTGGTATATATAACAGCCAGTTTAAAATGAAAATGGTGTACATGCGGTTGTAACCCGACCTATGGCCTCAATGTATATTTCGCCTACGACATTCACCAACAGCGATGACTAATGTTTTACCTTTGAGTAATTGTGGGTTATCCTATACAAAGCCGATGCATGTTTCGTTAGAAAGTCATGGCACTGTGAAGAATCCGGTCGCACGATTTTTTCCATCAAGATTGTGCTCATTTGTGCATGAAAACAGCTATTTCATGGCCTGTAATTGTGCTCACATTTCTCACCACAGGTGATTCACCTATATTATTAAGCTGTTTATAGCACAGTTCGAAGCCGATTGTTCCCCTTTTTCTGGATCATTAAGCCAAACTAGTGTGCTTGTCGGATTCAAAATGGGCTAACAACTTAAACAGCAAACGAAACTACTGGTAAGCGGAACAACGTCCTCCCTGAGAAGCAGTGATCAGGGATACTTAGCACATACCCAAGCCAACGTAACTTATACAGTGTTATTTTCTCTTCCGAGGAGCTAGTATTCCTATCATCGATTAGTACTTGCCTACGCGCATCATCGTTGCCGATATGCTGGTACTATCTGACACCACCACAGTGATCACCGTTCATTCATTCATTATACACGTTAGCTAGAGGTGGGAAGCACCTCAGCTACTGTGCCGCAATAAATAAACGAAAAAATGCAACAGATGCTAGCCAGCTAAGCTACCGGTAACGGATGGGCATCGTTCTGGGAAGTCACCAGCCAGCTACTATGCAGCAAAAAATCTTTATTATGCAAAATTATATTATGCTAAGAAGTGAGATCTTGGTTGGAGGGGGAGGATAAAAGGGATGGGGAGGGGCAAAGAAACTCACAGCAGGAACGTCATTGAGGTCGGCTCCTTGCCATGTCAGCAAGTGTATCCAGCTAAACGTGCTCCTCGTCTTTCGACCCCAACCAGGAAGCCGAGGCCAGCTTCGAAGTATGGGCCTCCATTCCTCTAGACCAAGTCCTCGCTTGGCCACCTATTCTTCCATTCACATCCTCGGCGTGCAAACAACGCACGTCCCGGGAGTCGATGGGCTGGCATGCGTAACACGTGGCCCAGTGATCACCAGGGAACGATGTCAAGGACTAGAAACGCACTTCAGATCCTCACACAGAACGAGCCAAATCACGCTTCCATAGATTAGAACAGCCCTCTCCGTGGCCTTGTACACACGGTCTTTGAAGCCGGAGAAAACATTTCTGACAACATACATGTGGCAGGTTGTATAAGGTGGTCCTAACTTTCACAGTACCTGAACTAATAACATTTGTTTTCGACAGTTTGTATGCATAGTCTAATGTTGTGGAGTACAACAACTTGCCAAGGCAAGCCAATATCCTGCCAGAATACGGAGACTGTTGACCAAATTAAAGAATTCTATAAATCGAGCGAAACCGCGAACCAATTTAGTCAGTGCGTTTGTGTGTAATCTGCGCGTATATACTTGTAATAAATGCTGAGTGTCCCGCGAATAGCGGAGACAGCTCCGAAATGTCGAACCGTGAACGATCCAGGAAATTGAGATGTCTTGTCTTAGCATGATAAATAAATCCGCGGTTGTTCGAAATCTCTGGATTGTGGATAATATTTGACAACTACGGAAATTGTGACCGCACATATCTGGAGATCACCTCTGCATGAGGTTCAACATTGTGTTTGCCCAGTTTTAGTTTTAATTTCGTTCCATGCGATCTGCCTCACAGATAGCAACGTCCATAATATATGCGACAGCCTTTATAGTCAGCAGTTCGTGTTCGGCAAAGGAGCTCACAGGGGGTCTGAATACCCTGACGGCGATTTACGATCACAAATTGTTTCGCAGTTTCATTATGCCTTTTGCAGCCAGCATCGTGCATGCCTGCACATGACTGAGGGATGTGCGAGAGCGTTTTCTTCTGACCGCAAGCTCCATGGCTATGAGCGAGGTGGTCTGGCTTTTGCCCGGCGTGTCTTTTTTGTAAAGACCCTGCCCACAGCTGAATTCCTCCTATGAATAGCTGAGGGAAGATCTTGGCTGGTTGTCTGAGCCATTTGTGAGCTGAGCGCAGTTGTAACATCTCGGAGCGGGGAACCATGGACCGAAGATTAAACTGCTGTTCTCCAAGCTTCTTTTGCAGGGGCTTTAGCGCGGAAGGGCTGATCACATGGAGACGGGAGTTGTAGCAATGCGATGGATAAAGGCTATGGATCGCCCAGCTGATTGCAGAGTTGGAGTCCGACAGATGGCGCTGCAGACGAGATTTCCGAAGAAGAGGAATCAAAGTGGACAGAAGTGGTATCACGAGGCCGAAATCTTCGATCGAAGGGTGAAAGTAGACAACCGGTGTATCCTTAAGCAGCCGTAGCCATTTACGCACGTGGAAGCGAGCTATTTTACTCATATTCTTTAAAGTATATCGATGTACTACCCCCAGTGAAAGATTGTGAATGTGACGGCGTAGTAAGAAGGTGCTAAGTATTTGTGATCACTGATGTAGCTTCAGGGGAGCTCGGATGGGCTCTTGAAGCTGAGAGGGTGTTTGTTCTAAGGATGCAGGCGGTAATTTGCCTTTCCAGTTGAACGTAAAGCCGCGATAGCAGAAAGATTAGTCCGATTGAAGTGATGATGTGGTGCTCGAGGAATACGAGAGTGGAAGATGTTGCGCGCAGTTGACTTCTGTTGGTTAATCGATAGGTCAATTGGAAGAAATTCTTCACCAGACTTCCTGAGACTATTCACCAAGGATGATCAGTCCCGGACAAACAGGTCACATCGTCATCATAAGCCACGTAATCTATAGGACGTGCGGAGCAAGACCACTGGGAGGATGTAAACTTATGAATGGCTACGTCTAAAGTCATGATGAAGAGCAATGGTGAAAGCAGGTTTCCTTGCCAAACGACCTGTGGATGAATGTTGATCCCGTTGAAATTGTAAACAACAGAGGCATAGTAGGAAGAATGATAACAGAAACGACGGAGCACCAAAAGTAGAAACAACTCGGAATAAAGGATCATGAGAAACGGAGTCAACATGATGAGAATGAACCGCCGCGGGAAGAGTAATCGGTGCTTCGAAACCGCCATCCTTGCGAAGAATTCCCACATGAAAATATGGTATTCATCCATCGAGGAGAATGCGGTGAAGTGGGCCTATGAAGACAGACGTCACAGAGATGTGCCGAAGGTGATCATCGAGTGATGGATTTAGGATCTTGTGAATTAAGTTAATCCGGGCAACATTCACATGAAGCGTGTAGGAGGAAGATGTAAGATAATTCAAACTTTATCCAAAGTTGGATTTGGAGTACCCTCCATGTGGTTGGATTGCGATACGCAATCTTTATGGAGACCTCGGTCCTTCCGATCACAAAGACCACATCCAAAATAGAGGTGTTTCGGTGTTGCTCCTCC